AGATATATTGAGCTTAAAAAGGAGCTCAGTGATATCAAGTCCTCCTGTGCATGTTCCCACAGAAAATCAGTTGAGGTCAGCGTAGTTGAATTGGATATGAATTTTCACGAGAGAGTACCACTGCAAATCAATGTTGATGAGGTTTGACATATTTTTTCTTGCTCAACTGTTAATTTCCTCTTAGAGTTTGTGTACTTTTAAAACTTCTGTTCTATTCAGACTGCCTACTTAAGGGAATACACTCCAACAAAGGATCAAAATTTTATCTCTCAGGTGCAGATATTAAGCCCACAACTCCTTTTTTCCCTTCCTGATACAATGTTTGGCCTTGGGCATTTTCCAACATTTATTTCATTGTGAAAACCATGTTAAGTTCATTGTTTACCTTTTTAAGATGAAATGTTGAAAACCTGTGGACCTTCATTTCAAGCAAAATAAATTGCCTTTGGACTGAGTGGTATACCTTTCCTCATATATTAGGTGAAAAGTTTGGATGTTCATGAGGTCAGTGCTTCATGTCTTGAACTTGAAAACCCAAATGAGCTGGATCATCAGGTACGAGTTATCAGGAAAGTAGATTTTGTTCTTAAAATCTACAGTAATTTATGTTTTAGATGAATTGGAATTTAACATAGCTGTTACCTGGTATATAAAGCAGACATGTGAGAGCCTTTCTGGCTGTGGAAATAGTGCTGAGGATTTGTGTGAGTCTAAATGTGTCAGAATGGAGGATAGTTATTCGAGCGCAAATGTAGCAGGTTAGATTTGAAGAGTTTAAGATTTTACCTTTGCATTTCATGTTGTAACTGTAGCTTGTTCTATGATTGGGATATAATCTGGACATTTGGGTACCTACATTCCTCAGATGCTGCTGGTCTTAGAGATACAGGAATATACATCATGTTGAATTGATCAAATTGGAGATTGTTCTGGGGTTCTATTTGTCACTTTGGACTGGAAATGATTTAGTGGTTGCTTAGAAATTAAACACTATATGGCTTTTAGTATTTTTTTTCTTTTCATGGGCATTTGAATTGAAGCCTTTGGGCCAGATAGCACTTGGCCCGCTTTATTTAAATATTTCTGCACAAAAAGTCATTATATTTTGTGTAGCTCCCTAGGCGATCAGGAATATCAAAATCCATTGGTTTTTTTGGGATGTAATGATGTGCTTTCTGGCATTATCAGCTAATGATAGTTATATAGTATCTGATTGTTAATAATCAGTCATTCGTACCTTTTACATTGAACTGTTCTTAAGGGTCTTGTTTAGTGGTAGTTTGTGGACTTTGACGACAAAACACATGAATCTCTCACAATCTTGATTTTTGGTCAATGTGATACACTTTTACCTACTAGGTATTATTTTACATGATTTCTAGCTTTTGTTTACAAGTTCAAGGCTTCCAGGTTTTATGGTAAACTCTTCCCAGTCACTGCATAGAAAGGATAGCTGTTCATCTGTTGAGCTGGACCACATGCTCAGTGGGGAGGATGAGGTTAGAGTCCTTGAACTATTTCATCTGTTGAGTTGAAATCGCACTTTTTCAAGCTTGTTTTTAGCAATGTGTTGCTACTTCCAACCAATCGTCTTTTCCCGTTTTATAGAATATCATCTTGTGGTTTTTCAGAGTCCTTTCCAGCCATCAGTATATGGCTACAGTCTATTGATTCTTTTATCTCTTCTTCGCATATGACTCTTCTTTAATTAGTGTGACAACTTGCATGTGGTTCTTTCTCCTATTAACTAGGAATCACCGGAAGATGTTGTATTGACCGGTCAGTGCAATGCTGTTGACCTGCTAGATGGTGAGTGTACTTGTTGCCAAGCTTTGCAGTCGGGGGAATCGGAAAGGTTAGTAGAGTAGCATATCATTTTAGATTTGTGGTTGCCTGCTTGCCTGCTTGCCTGCTTGCCTGGTATCATATGCTGAAGATTGATTTCCTGAGAGGATTGCATATCAAGCGTCTATTTTCGCTAAATTCTTGCCTGTATTTGTTGATCTAATCAGGAGAGTTTCGCCTGGTTCGTCTCCATCACAAAGGGATTGCAGGGCTTTGGATGTTGAAGATGAGATTGAGAAGCCACGGGTAAAGTTCTTAGCATTCTCTTTTTACAAAAAATATATATCTTTTTATATAACTTGCACTTGGAAATTGATCTGAGTTCACTTGAATGCGGTGTGAGATTCCGAAACAACTTGCTAATTTATTCCGTTGTTGTAGAAAGCTCGAATGTAACAAATAGTTATCTATCTCTCTCTCGATCATTTTTCCTGTTTCTTCTAGGAGTTATTGAATTTTACTACGACGTCGCCGCAAGAAGATCTTGTGTCAAGTAAGGGGTGCGAAATGATTGATATTCCTGACAGTGAACGAGGGGTTACAACAAGTGCTACAACAGCAGAGAAACCAAAAGGGTGCGAAGTGACTGATATTCCTGACAGTGAACCAAGGGTTAACAAAGCAGAGAAATCAAAAGAGTGCGAATTGATTGATATTCCTTGCAGTGAACCGAGGGTTACAACAACTGCTACAAAAGCAGAAAAACCAAAAAGGTGCTTTCATCAACTGCCACGCATTTTTTCTTGTATTATTTGCTAATGAAATGAATTATTCTGAATCCTTTTTGTGTTGTGATGACCAGGAGACTTTTGCCTGCATCATCCTTATTACTAAGGCATTTCAGTACTTTGGACATTGAGGATGAAGATGAGAAGCCAAAGGTAAAAGTCTCTCTCTCTCTCTCTCTCTCTCTCTCTCTCTCTGGGCTTAATTCTTTAAGATTGCTTTAAACAAATTTGCTTTGCAGGGCGGGAAGAAGAAATCAGGTGTTGAAGAAAGAAAAATAACGCAGGGTAGCATCTCTCTTTTGCGTTTGCTCAAGAGCGATCTTCATATCCAGTATTAGTACTAGCAGTAGTAGTGTATACATACCCATAATTATGTATACGTAGCTCCTCCACACTTGGCGTTGCCACCTGGGATGGGCCTTTTTTGGTGTTTTGGGCCAACACACACCCATCGTCATACATATGTGAAGGTTCCCACGCGAAGAATGTACAAAACTTCTTATCACATAAACCCGTCAATGCCATTCCTAGATGTTGCAACCTACAGCCCTTTTTTACCCGCTGATCCCATTGAAAGAGTCTTTTGATCGATGGGCCCACTTGTATGTTATGCGAGGTCAGCATCTTTTAGCCTTTGAAAACCATTGATAAACTGAAATTGAAATGCTAATCATGCCATAAATTTTCAAGGTTTATGACTAATGAATGGGAAGTTTGACTTTAAACTGTTTTAGTCCTGGTCAAGTTATTATTATACTTATCTTTCCGCTAAATCATCCATCCATCTGAGGTACCGTCATGAATAAACTGATAAAAATATCTGATGCCTATATTCGTAATCTTCTCAAGCCCATTTAGCTTTCCACAAAATAATGTTACAAATTGAGTGCGCCAGTCACCTGTTGTCTCTCTATGTATGGGCTGCAGGGTTGGTCTGTCGTCCATCGACGTCATCCCCATTCCCCACTTCACTTTCGACCCATTTACGTCCCTCCTTCCTCTACCTAAAACAAAATTTAAAATATTTAAAACACACAAAATATTAATATAAACCCCTGCGTTGACTTGATTGTGTTATAGTCATGGTTTTTACATGTGTCAATTGGACTGCTGAAAAACCATGGTGTGCAAGTTTGAATGTGATGTGAGCTCATTTTTCTTCTTCAGGGTTTAGGCTCTCCCCAGTGGTTTACCGCGTCTTTTCTGTGGGCTATATTTTAAATATGCTTAACCATCTCCTTAAATTATTTACCCCCTGGCAGGCGGACTACACTAGCAACATGTTGTTTTGCCAGCAAATGGCAAAGATAGATAACAAATTTGGCACTTCAATCATATTCTTCCTAAAATGTGCTCGTGCAAATGTACATAAGATAATTTAGGGTTTGCGATGGGCTCATGCAATCATAATCTTAACAATAGAATGAATTTGAATTTTCTCCTCTTTTTTTATTTATTGCAATGTGGATAAGTTATAAGTATGAATATTTTCAAATTAACTTCAATTAAAGAACAAAATATTTGTTCAATCTATTTTATAATTTGTTGCTGTTTTTGTAGGCTTAAAATAGTACATTGAGCTTCCTTATTCTCAAGGATAAGATGAGTATTACTAGTCCAATAAGTAATTAAGATAGTTTGGTAACCATTGGGATTGGGCAAACTGATTGTGATTTTTTGAAGAGGCAATTTATGTCATTTTGGCGAGAGACCTGGTTTATTCACTATCAAATAAATACCTGCAGGCAAGTTGTCTATGTCTACTAGTCTAGGGTTTAATCAAAGAAGGGGAAATTAAATAATAATAAAAACAGAAACATTTATCTTTACCGCTTGATAACTGGAAAGAGCTTCCCGACCTTGGGATATGTCGTAATGTCAAACAAGCAATCAACCAGTCCCAATTTTGTTGGTTTAGCATGAGAATAAACATTGTACATAAACTAGTAAGTCCATTTCATGCTTAGCAACTGTAATTTATAAATTACCATCAACCAAAGGCAACTGCGTTTTATTATGACTCCTCGGCATTGAAAAAGAAACAAAGATGAGGGAGACTTGTTTGACAATAGCTTTGGAAGGATGCATGAAATTTGTCTAGGCATTGAAAATGAAAAACCACCATTTCACAAAAGTCACATGTGTGCACCACACGTGACCCGGAGGGGGACCGACCGGACCCCATGAAAATGACAAGGATAGCCCCGTCTCGTTTTCAGTTTAGACCACGTCCACCCCACTCCTTTTCTTCGGAAGTCATTACATAATTACATTACATGAGAAGCCCCACAAAAGGGCTTACTGGAATTGACAGTTTTGGTCTTCTCCTTCTTCGGTGCACCCAACCCATCTATCTGTCTATTTTATATTCCCTATTCCCTATACGAACAAACAACAACGTTACCGGTTCATCGGACCAGCTGACTCCCCGGTCCATCCAAATCCATGTCACGCCCCGCGCACGAGCTGCACGTGCAGTTTCCCGGTTCCAATTAAAAGCACCCACAAATTACAAAATACAGAATTTCTGAAAAAAGAAAAAGAAATAACTAAGAGGACGAAACGTTGGACTATCTTCTTTCTCTCTCTGGTTCGAAAAGAGCTTCTTCACAGAGAACAAACCGAGGGTTTTTGCCAAGGAAGATAGGGAGGAATAGAAACCCTAGGAGCTAGAGAGAGAAAGCCCCAAATCACACACGGGGAAAAGAGGGAGGAGAGTTACTGAGTGGGGGGAGCTTCTCTATTGGAACTGTGTCAAAGCTAGGGTTTTCGAATTCGTTCATGAAGGTAAAGTAGAAGACACTTCTGATTGTAATTTTTGCTATTTATATTTCGCATTATGATGTTGTGTGATTAATTCGATTTCAATTTGGAATTAGCCTTAATTAAGCACATATCTCACAGCATTAATTCTCATAATCCTGATTATAATTTTCCATATCCTCGTATTTCACACCACTTCTCGTTCGGCCGAACCCTGAAAGCGTGGGATTTTGTTTCTCTTGCTTTTACTTCGCTATTTTGGATACTAGGGTTTGGTACTCTCTATACATGGCAATCGCAGCTGTTTGTTTTGTTTGGTTTTTATAGCTTCCTTCTGAATAAATCAAAGGAACTCTATGCATAGCGGTTGAGTCTAGGGTTCACTGTCTGGTTACTGAGTGTGGGTAATTGTTTTCCCTACTAATGTTATATGCCTGTAGTTTCTACTTGCGCTTTCAATTTATTGCTTGTTCGCTTGTGTCAGGATTAGAGTACTTTTTATTTGTCGATCCTCGTCAAGAAGTTTCTGTCTACACCAGGCGGCAGGTATGGATCGCTCTCTCTCTCTCTCTCTCTCTCTCTCTCTCGTGTTAAACAAGAGATTTGGAATATGTTATGTTAAACCTTTTGTCTCTGCATGATATGTAAGAGATGCTTTTATCATAGGCGTTCTTAAATGGTCATTTATTAATTATCAGCATATTTATATATTTATGTATTCTAAATTTGGCGGTGAAGCAAAATTCTACCTTCAGTACAACTTTCATTTCATGATTTATTGGACATCATAGTTTCATTTTCTCCTGTTGTATGCTTCTATACAGCATCATACTTTGAATATTCATATGAATTGTAGTTATTTTTATTGGATGACTCTCTGTGGATTAGTTCTAAGAACACTAGACATTGTGCATGTGAGATAGCCTATTTTCTCTTCTTTATGCCGCACTTCCTTCCCTAGCAGCAGAATTTTAAGTCATTTCTTATATGTTTCGTTGAACATTTGTGCTAATTGCTTTTATATGTTTTTAAAGCTCTTTGAAAACCTTCTCATTGATTAATGCATTGTCTGGCTGCTATGCACTTGCGCAGACTGGTGGAATGTACTAGTCTAGCAATAAGTTTTTTTTTTTACTATACAGCATCATACTTTGAATATTCATATGAATTGTAGTTATTTTTATTGGATGACTCTCTGTGGATTAGTTCTAAGAACACTAGACATTGTGCATGTGAGATAGCCTATTTTCTCTTCTTTATGCCGCACTTCCTTCCCTAGCAGCAGAATTTTAAGTCATTTCTTATATGTTTCGTTGAACATTTGTGCTAATTGCTTTTATATGTTTTTAAAGCTCTTTGAAAACCTTCTCATTGATTAATGCATTGTCTGGCTGCTATGCACTTGCGCAGACTGGTGGAATGTACTAGTCTAGCAATAAGTTTTTTTTTTTTACTAATATTATTTTCAATAAGTTGGCTAATGACAGATTAGTATCCGATTAAGGATTCGTATACGCTGGATGTAAAAAAGTGAATCTTGTATCTGAATTCTGGTATAACCAGATTCAACAGGCAGTAGAAATGTGTCGGGTGTAACATCAATATGGGGTCGGGCAGTTCTACTAGATTTTGGGAGTAGAGTTCTGTTCAGAGAGAAGTAGTTATTCTGAGACTCTGGGATAAAATATGTCCCGTAAATGAGTACTGCTAGTATAAAACACGAATTGTCTTGTGAAGGATTGTTAAAGTTGAAATTTGATTTGTGTTTTTTTTCTTCTCATAATGGGGGGTACACAATCCTCTCTCTCTCTCTCTCTCTCTCTCTCTCTCTCCAATGGTTGTTGTCATCTTATCCCTGTGTTGTTGTAAATAAGCAATGGTGGCAATGTATAAGCTGGGGCTTACTTAAATATAGTTCATATTCATACTTTATCAATGTTTTATTTCAAAATCTTTTATTGAAAGAATCGTTAATTTTGAATTATTTGAGGTCATTGAATTCTTGAGTGTTAAATGTACTTAACTAATTGGATTTGCGGGCATGCTGTCTTTCCAATTTAGCAAATTTATATATATTCTACTTTACAAAATCTCATCTGGGTCATATTATCCTTCTTTAGGAATGTTCACATAATTTTTCTGTTATATTGACCCAATGATTGTGTATTAGTTTATTTAGTTAACATTTATCTAATGCCTTTTATACGTTTACTCTTCACCTCTCCGGCAAGTATATGTAGTTCACTTGTTAGATTTTGTAATTGGTCTCAATTCTTATACTTACACAATGAGATGTATGTGTGTATGTACTTGAATTTGTACTTTAGTTCAAATAATCATGTTCTCTTTCTTCACCTAGCAAGGATACAAGAATTATAGAATGATTAGTTATGTTTGATTTACATTTTAATAAGAAAAGAAATGGTTTGAATGACCTTAACATGCCATGAAGTTCTACTATTTTGTTGCATTTGTAGGCAATGGGACTTTATGAATTGGTGTAAATATCATCAAATACTACCATGCCATGATGCACTGACTGCCTGATATCCTAAAAATGTTTAATTCTGTGTTGCTAACCATTTAAGGGCAATCATCTCATATTTTTTGTTGTAGTACATATTAGTAAATCGGTATTAGTTTGTGTAAATGATTTTGTTTATAAGTACTGCTCCTAAATTATAAGTGGATTTAACTTGCTTATTCATAATTTTATATTCCTTTATTAGAGGTATCATATTGCATTCTTGAAGCTTATGTTTTACGTGTCAATACTAGTTTGATCTTGTTTGTGATTAAGGTAATATCCATTTTATATGTCATATGTTTGATGGTCATAATACTTGTCTTGTTACTTCTGCAGTGCTATTTCACAAATATTGTCATCAAAGCCTACTGCAGTTCTTAATGGAAATTAAAGTTTTGGTGTTCTACGTGGACTTCTTCGATTGTAAGCATGTTATGTAAAGCACCATGACACTCGAAGATTTCTTTACTTTAACTGAGATGAAAGATGGGCTCACAGCCCCGTCTCGAGTTGAGGAGCTGGTCAACGTAATGCAGAGTGAGAAAGATTCTATTGCGAATAATGTGGGTGATGCAACCAGGCAGTGGGCTGCTGTTGCTAGCACAATTGCTGCCACGGAGAATAAAGATTGTCTAGATCTTTTTATTCAATTAGATGGACTCTGGTTTGTTGATAGATGGCTTAAAGATGCTCAAAACTTAGGTAATGATACGAATGAGAGCTTTGTAGAAGAGTCAATAACTGCGCTGTTACGAGCACTTGAAAAGCTGCATATAGACAATAAGCGGTCAATATCTTCAGGGATCTGGAGTACCGTGAAGAGTCTTCTTGGCCACAAAAGCACAATGGTTCAGGATCGAGCGAGACTGCTGTTTGATAGCTGGAAGCAGGATGTTGAGAATGCTGAGGTTCTCTGTGATGATGGGAATTCTAAGATTTTGGAAGAAGATTCTAAGGCTTCTGCTGTAAAAAGTACTTCAGAAGTAGGTACTAACAGAGAAAATCACACATCAGGACCTGCTCGAGATGAATTGTCCCCATTAAGGACTTCAGGCGGTCTTCAACTAGAAAATGCTGATGCTGTACTGAGTAACAAACAGTCCCCAACCCACAAACTTTTAGACAATGCAGACATCAAAGATAGATCTCCAGATCCTTTGGCCTCTGCTGTTGTCATGGACCCTATTCAAGAAAGTCCTATAAAAGATGAATCCTCTATGTGTTCTGTGGGAGGAACTGCTTCAATTGGAACTTCTAGTTTTCCAGTAGCAAAGCTGAGCAATGTTGATGGACTTTCTGACACTCCAAAATCAAATGAGTTGTCCAAAAATGAAAATCAGGATGAGAAAGTCAACAGTTCTCCACAGAAGTTGGGTGTGACAGACATCTCTTCGGGGCCTGGTCTGGTGGAACCCGGGTTTGTTTCTTCAGGTGCTGATGGTTCAAATTCCCAGGTCTTTGCTACTGATTCTGCGTTGCAAAAAAGTGGTAATGCCAACCAGGACGATTCTTGTCAAAAATTTACTGCTCTTGCTAATGAAGGGACAGCTGCGTCTGATCCAAAAGGTGTGATGGATGACGCAAGAGCGGTAAATCATTGCAATACTACAGTTCAAGATGGTGAATGCTGTTCAAACACTCCACATGACTTGTCTGGTAATGGTAGCATGTCAGGAAAACTTGAAGATTTAGAGACTTCTTCCAGGATGGCTGACCCGGGAGCTGTTGATGAAGATATGGAGCATGTCAGCGATGAAGGTGAGGAATTGACAACTGCAGATGATATTGATCATGAGTATGGGATGGTTGACGCTCTAGAAGTTGCTCGACAAGTAGCCCAAGAAGTAGAAAGAGAAGTAGTGGATTATAGAGAACCATACTGCAGTTCATCTTCAGAGAAAATCTCTGAAGGTGGACTCAGACGAGCTGATAGCCCAGACTCTATAAATGGAGAACAGGACTTACCCACTCATGTTTCACCAAAGGAGGCGGCAACTGAGCAAAGTCATTCGGCAGAGGTAAATCCTGAGAGGGAGGGCCACATAGTCAATTCAGAAAATGTGGGCACTATTCCAGAACAATGCACTAATGACATGGAGTCCTCTCAGGTGACTGAAGCAGCTCAAGAACCCGAACTTATCCCAGAAAAAAGCCTTTGTAATTTTTTTGATCTAAATCAAGAAGTGTGCTCTGATGAAATGGATCGCCCAGTAAATCCTGTCTCTACTCCAATTCCTGTTTCAAGGCCAGTAGCAGCTGCTGGTTTACCTGTAGCCCCTTTGCAGTTTGAGGGGGCTATTGGGTGGAAAGGATCTGCTGCTACTAGTGCTTTTCGCCGAGCATCTCCTCGCAGATTTTCAGATGGTGACAAGAATCTTTCTACAGGGGCCACCAGTGATGGCTCAAAGCAGAGACTGGATTGCCTTGACATAGATCTGAATGTGGCTGAGGGTGGAGATGATTTAGGAAAACAAGTTCCGGTGTCATCTGGCCTTCCTTCTGGGGAATCTTCAGTTGAAGTGAGTCAAAATAGATCAGGGAGGCCCAATTTGGATCTAAATCGTATTGATGATGATGGTGATGCCTTACCATCGGATTTAAGGATGGAAGGACAGTTCTTAAACAATCGGAATGGCCGTCGCAGCCCATCTCCTGCTTCATCGTCATCGTCAATGCAGCCTTCTATGAGGAATTTTGATTTGAATGACAGGCCATATTTTCATAATGATTCTACAGATCAAGGACCAGGTAAGTCTTCTCAAACTGCAAATGCATATGGATGGCCTAAACCGGATGCTTCAGTTATTTCTATCATGGGTACTCGAGTGGAGATAAACAGACCTGATGCTCCTCAAACTCTGTCCCTGGCAAATGGCAAGGCTATTGAGACTGCAGCAGATGTTAGCATGGCAAGAACGGGGAATCTTTTGGACATGGGTTCAACGGTCTCTTACACTCACTCTCCTGTTTTTGGGTACAATGGACTGGCAACAGGGCCTACCATGTCGTTCTCCTCAGCCATGTATGGACCTGGTGGCACAATCCCCTACATGGTGGATTCTAGAGGAGCTCCTGTTGTGCCTCAAATAATGGCGTCTCCGTCAGTTGTTCCGCCTCCATTTTCCCAGTCACCGTTCATTATGAACTTGAGTGCAACGGCACAACCAGGTCTAAATGGTGCTGGGCCCTCACGTCCTCCTAGCTTTGATCTGAATTCTGGCTTTATGGTTGAGGGAGGCAATAGGGACTCGGGCCTGAGGCACCTTTTCATTCATGGTCAGAGTGGCAGGTCTATGGAGGATCATTTGAGGAACAACTCACAACCCCCTCCTTCAAGTTCCACCGTTGGTGGGAAAAGGAAGGAACCAGATAGTGGCTGGGAATCATTCCCGTTTAGCTACAGACATCAGCAACAGCAACCACCATGGAGATGAGAAATTTTTAACTGCGGGCAGTCGTCTCGTTGGATCAGTTTCATAAATCCAACTAAGTAGATTGATACATGCGATCCAGAAGTGGGTGAGCTCATTCGCTTTAGTTGAACTGAATAAAGTTGGAGGAAATTATCAAGGTAACATGATTTATGTGATTAATTGCTGAAGGAAGAATTAGGGTCTTGTTTTTATTTATTGGTTTTTTTTTTTTTGCCCTTTTCTTTATCTTTCTGTGTTTCATAGAAGGCCATTTGCAACATAGGAGGAGACTTTGGTACGTGTAGCTGTAATTTTTCTTCCATGTATATCACAGAAATTATAGGAACAAATTCCTACATTATTTAAGTGTTGATTACGAGGAGGGTCTCTTAATAAGTGAGTTTACCGGAAACAGAAAAAAATAAGGATTAAATTTAGGGTGCTATTAAACGAATTTTAAAATTAAAAGAGTACTGTCAAATTATTTATTAAATTACTAATTTATTCTAATATAAAATGATTAAAAAGGATATATTAAATTATGAAATAAATATAATTTTAATAAGTACACTCTACTAATGCGGATTTTCTGCTTGTTTTTTCTCTCATCATTTAAAAACCATCTAAAACATGACACCGCATATTCTTAGCATTTGGACAGCCGAACTCTAAAAACCAAGCCCAACAGAACCTCTTCTCCTTTCAATCACTCTTCTTCAATCGTGTAATTTTTTCATTTTTCTCATCTTTCAATTCAAGAAATTTCCTATAATATTTGAAACCCTTTGTAAAACCTTGTTTTTTCCAATTTCCCTCCACAAAAGTAGCCACACGAATCATATTGGGACTTCTATCAGCAAGTAAGGCAATGAAAACAGACGGCATAAAATACTCTGTTTTTTTGGAAAAAATTTAAAAATCCGAAGCTGCAAAATTGAGTATTTTAACAAGAGGGATTCACTACCTGAGTATTACTCATTATTTGATTTAGGATCAATATCAAAGAATTCAGTTGAATGTTTTTGTATCATTAGTTAGATTTTGGATATATCAAAAAGAACAATTTGTCCAGATTGTACAGTTAAAAACTTCGAGAATCAAAGTATGGAGAAAAAGGGATTGTGGGGAGATGAATGTTTTTTTTTTTTTTTTTTTGGAGAGAGAATATTAGGATGTACTGGGGTATCTTTGGTAGTTAAATAGGCTGTACTTAGTTCATTTTACATTTTAATTTAAATATTAGGGTGTACTCAGTTAGTTTTAAGGCTCGTTTAGTAGCACTCTAAATTTATATTTACTCTTAATAGAGCCATTCCAACCCAACACCCAGTCAGCCCAATTTCAGTGGGTTAAAGGCTGTTAGCTATGTTTTTGGCCCACTATCCAGTTCCACAAATAAGATATAGGCCCAATATATGACTTCCGCATATATTAGTCTAGAGTCATTCTATAGTGAGGGCTTTATATGTGGCCCTTAGGTGAGATCATTTCTCTTAATCGTTGAATCAGGCTAACCAACAGTTAAAAGAAAAGGCATCACCTAAAAGCCAATATAAAGCCCTCACTACAGAATTCTTGTATTAGTCATTGGGGACCTCAATTTCAGTATTTGGGCATATTTGTGGGCAGCCATTTAACTATTTGGGCCCATTATTAGGTTGCCATTTAAAACATTTGGGCCTATTACTAGGCCGCCATTTATATCATTGGGTCTCACCATTTATATAATTGGGTCTCACCATTTAACTATTCGGGTCATATATTGGGTCGCAATTTAAAAAACATTGGGCCTCTTATTGGGCCATCATCTATATTATTGGGCCTCGTATTAGGCTGCTATTGGATCATTGGGCCTCTTAGTGGACCGCAAATGATCTCATTGAGCCTCCTATTGAGCCACCATTTATATTATTGGGCCTCTTATTGGGCCACATTTTATATCGTTGGCCTCCTTTTAAAATTGGGCCTTTCATTGGCAGCTATTGATGAACTTAGGCCTATTATTGGGCTGCCATTTACATATTTGGGCCTAGTATTGGGTCGCTATCTAAAACTTCGTAACATTATTGGGCAGCGATTTAAACAATTGGGCCTTGCTGTGGGCCATTATATTTCGACTTGGGATTGGGTTCCCATTAAGTTTTTTGGGCCTCTTTTTGGGCCATCATGAATCTCTGTCCAACAATGAGGGGACCGACTTTATTTCATGGACTATACGAGGGCCTCATTTCATATTCTTGCCTTTACCAGGAGAGCATTTTATATAGCAGCACTGTACAAAATGAAAGGCGTTATTTGTTTCGGACGAAAGTTTATATTAACAATTTCCAGAACTTTATCCACTATAATATCAATTTCTATTTTAGTTACTTTTTTATTATTACTGCTTTATTAAAACAAATCATGATTATTAATGTAGATATACGAATAATGCTTAAAAAATTAAACAAATTAACTGTATTAATGCAGATATACATGAGACAGGCAACCAAGCACGATTAAATTACATTAAATATTCTTCTAGCACAAGCTAGCCAGCTCTTGCTACCGTGGTAGTACGGTACCGGTTACATGCTCAGTTGCTCCTCAGTACCCCTTTGAAGAAACCAATCACACTTTGCATGGTATAGGGGATTCATTGCAGGCTTGATGGAGCTACCTCCGCTTGTACCTGAAGAAAGAAATCGAAACAGAGAAGAATTATTACAGAATTCAGATATACATGAAATATCATTCATGCGATGAGGTGATAAAGGAACTCCACCTTACCTTGACAGAGGAAGGAAATTTTTTTATTTTTATTTTTTTTAAGGTTGAGAAAAATCAAAGTGAAAAACAAAACAATGGGATTTTTTTAATTTTTTTTTTTCTGTTTTGGTAAAACACCTAGGGGTTCAGTAACAGTGGGGAAAAAGAACTGTTTTGACAATTAAAATATAGAGGACATATGTCACTTTGTGGTGGACATAAAGGATTGGCTCAAAACGTGTCCTCAAGTGTACCATTAAAGTTCCTTTGTTTATGGAAACTAGAAAATACGAACATTTGAGCCACTAGTGCTACTACAATTCAATGTTGCATAAAGGACCTTTACTTCATTTATTTTTCCAAAACCTCCCTACCCTAAAGGACTACAATGCATGCTGCCAGGCTTAACCAAACAAGAGCCTAAATGATTTATTTCCCATCAGGATGAGATGTTCCTGTAAATTTATGTATAGAATTTATGTCCTCGCTCATCTGCCAATCTAAATATAGAATTTATGCTCTACATTCAGCTCAGTTTTGGAGTGACTTAACCACAGATCTATTTCTCCAAGACTTTCATTAGCCGAAATAAGCATCCAAAATTTAACTAAATGTAGAATATAAATTATATATATATATATCAAATACAATGCTCAAGAAGGTGCAAATTAAAGCCGAAACAAGTATATTAATCACAAGCTAAGGTGATTCATACCTTGACTTGCTCTTAAAAGAATTTGTGGACTTTTTCTTTCCGGCTCCATTGCTTTTTCTGTTCTGCTTCCTTTGACTCATGTCGCTCTGGAACAGGTCCTGCATCTCATCTGTCCTTGACTGAGTTCTTTGCGGAGTACTACTAGACTTCTTGCTAGGCTTCCTCACAACCTTGCCAGCATCTGTTGCCTTCTTTGCAGCCTTCACAGCTTTTGCCCGTCGGTAAGCCACGTCAACAAGTGGCATTCCAGTCTTCTCCTTCTTACTTTTTCCACTACCCTGCAATTTCTTACATAGTGATCACTGTGTGCAACTACACAATATATTCTATCATAAAAGTTTTTTTTTTTTTCTAAATGTTGAGCTTTATGATTACATTAAAACTTAGAGAAAAGCACAACACGGACATAGAGGTACAGTATCTTTGACCATCTTCTAACCTATCTACTTAATATATACAATAATCGAAGTTTTTTTTTTAAAATGCTGAGCTTTATGAAGAAATCCCCCTACCTGGAGGTGCAATACCACATACAGGAGAATTTTGAAAATCATACTGACGAAATCGAACTGTTCTTTAGCCATGGAATGCCTTTCACAAAGGGAAATGCAAGGGACCAGATCAAGCAAACCCACTTGGCTCTTTCATTAATATAAAAATAAATAATCACTATCTAGAACCTCAGACCTCAAGCATAAAAAGTTTACAAACACCAACTAACCAAATACTTGTGTTATTTGATAACCTCTCTGTTTATGCATATTATTCCACCGTAACAAAACATATACACACACACACACACACACACTATTTAACTAATCATATATATGTATGATCTCAGAGACCAATCTTGGTATCCGGGATCCAGGACTGGCCCTCATGCAGGATCACTCAGGCCGATATAGTAAGACTCAAAACTAAGATGACAAAAAACTGAACATTCTGGCTATTTTAATTTGACCTAAACTAAGATGACAACACAGGAACGCATGAGAAAGGCATGTGTGTGTGTGTGTGTGTGTGTGAGAGAGAGAGAGAGAGAGAGAGACATACATTCGACTTTTCATTTTGATTTTCCTCTTCTAACATTTCCCTGGCTGCTTCCAATTTCCTTCGCTTCTTTCGAGGCAAATTTTTCTGCTCCACAAACTTACCATGTTACATGCTTAACTTGGATTAATTAAAAAATAGAAAAAAAAAAAAATCTAGGATTATATCACCTCATGCTCCCGCTTCCTCTTTTCTTTCAGTTTCAAGTCTTCAGCTTGTTGGGCACTGATTACCTCATTTCCAGAGTGCTTTTCACTTTCATTGGATGCCTGCCAGCAGGAGAAAAAAATGTTACAGCATCATACCTTTACTTTGTCAAGTAAACACATTTAAAAAAAAAAATCATAATAAGAAAGAAAACAAGTCATCCTATAGAAAAATAAGACTACAGTGAAGATCTAAAACAGCTGTAAGTGATTCTTACTCCTATTATAAAAAAGAACAAAAAACCAGCACATTGGAAAGAATAATAAATTTGAAGATTAATTTGGTCTTACTACAATTTGAATGACCACTTTTTTTATTTCATTTGGCATTCAAAAGAGAAACAAAAAGTTTAGATATACCCTATTAAGTTACAGAGTGGGCATAATAAAGTTCTTTATATTGCATACAAATACAATAGAGCCTAGTGACACATGAACAGGACAGGTGGTAACTGAAAATTGAATTATCAAATCAGAAAACACGGCAGGTAGATAACAATACAAATGGTTCCCAATTGGCCATATCGGAAGCATTTGTAATGGTGTTTGCAAATGCGTCTTTCTTATATAACACAAATTTGTAGTCTATAAAACAATCCATGCAAATAACAGGCATCCATGAACCAAATCAACCACATTGTA